TTTATGGAGACTATACAAAAAACGTGGACCTATACATACAATGTTTCGCCACCAAAGCTAGAACCCATTATAATTAACAAATACTAATTATGCCCTCAGCCATATGGCTACAGAGGGTATATATCATTTGATACGGTCAAAACGTGCCTAGTGGAAATAACGCTTTTAGACCCTAGGTCTCTTTGGACCAAATCCGTTTCAGAACATTTGAAGTCGATCTAGCTATGTCCGTCCGTCCGTCTGTCTGTCTGGCTGGCTGGTGCGCACGATAACTTTCGAAGGGAGTATCCGATTTGGTCCAAACTTGGTACATCGTAATATATCTGTCAAACTTAGATCGAGCTCGAAGATGGGCAATATCGGTCCACTCCTTCCACTCCCAAAAGGTCGAAATTGTCAAAAAATTTATTTTTTGCACAGAAAGAGAAACGATTATCCAATTTTGCTCCAACTTTGCAAATCTTAATATTTGCGTTAGTGCTAGGACAAGTGTGAAAAATGGACAACGTCGGTCCACTCCATCAAGCTCCACCCCCACAAATGGTCAAAATTTTGAATAATTACAACTCTTATAAAATGTGATATAAGAGTCCGATTGTCTTCAAATTTCACACATGCCAATATTTATGTTAACCCAAGGTCTGATATTAAGATGAATATATCGGTCCATTCCTTCTGGTACCTCCCACACAAATGATCGAGATTTTCTAAAAAATATATATATTCTGTACAGAAAGATAATCGATTATCCGATTTTGTTCCAAATTTTGCAAATCCTGATTGATATTTATGTCAGTTCTAGGTTAGGTGAAAAAAATGGATAATATCGGTCCATCAAGTACCTCCCCCGCAAAAGGTCGACATTTTAAAAATCCATTAAGCTCTTAAAACACTAATTAACATCCAATTCCATTCAGGCTTGGCACATCTCAATATTTACATAAAAGCTAGATTTTTTATAAAGATGGTAGAGATCGGACCATTCGTTCTGGTACCTTCCACACAAAGGACCTAAATTTTGAATAATCAAAAGAATCCGAAATAAACATCCGGTTCACTTATATATACACGTCCCATTATTTCTACTAACTCTAGGTCTGGTGTGAAGATGGGTCAAAATTTTGAGTATCCATGAGACTCATAAAACGCAAAATTAACATCCGATTCTATTCAGACTTGGATGATGTAAGAGACCGAATGTCTTCAAATTTCACATATCCCAATAATTTAAGAACCCAAGGTCCGTTGCCAAGATGGAATACATCGGTCCACTCCTCCTGGTACCTCCCCCACAAAGGGTCAACATTTTGAGTATCCATGAAGCTCGTAAAACGCAAAATTAACATTCGATTATATTCAGACTAGGAGCTTCTCAGAATTTTCATCAACACAAGATCTGTCATAAGGATGGTAGAGATCGAACCATTTTTTCTGGTACCTCCCCACATAGGGTTCAAGATTTTTAAAAACAAAACGCTCAAGGAATTCGAAAAAAAATCCAACATACAGACATTAGATCTGTAGAAAATGATATACATCTGCCAACTTATAACTGTCATAACTTGCGCAACATGTCGGCGATTCTTTACAACTTGCTATGTCTAAATATTTCTCTTAACCGGTATTCTGATATGAATATGTAATTTGTCACAATTTATAATTTCGTATAAAATTGGATACGAATGTTCCATTTCCTTCAAATTTTGCACATACCAAAATCCTTTTTTTCTGCATTAAATGAAGTATGAAAATGGAATACTTCGGTCCGCTATATCTGTTACTTGACACATATTTCCATTTTCCGAAAATGTGCACATATCTCATATAAAGTACAAGAAGTAGTCGATATAGTCCAAATCTGTCACGTTCATAACTCAAGGCTGGGGGTATACATCTGTCGGCAAAACCGACTGATACTATTTTACTTGTTTTTTGACTAATCCGTGGTAAAATGTGGCAAAAATCATTAAAATACCGAATATCGGGAGGTACCGTTATCTGGGGACTATACAAAAAACGTGGACCTATACATACAGTGTTTCGCCACCGGAGCATTATGACCTACAATAGCCGATTTTTAGGCAAATCCGTGAAAAAATGTGCCGAAAATCATTATAATACCGAAACGTGGACCGATGTATCTCATTTTTAATACCAACCATCCTGGAAACAATACATATTGTCCTGCTAACTTTGGAGGTCTACGTCAAATAATGTGGGCTGTACAGACAGACAGGCGGACTTCGTTTATGGGGTCTACGACGAATGTTTAGAGATGAAAAACGGAATGACAACGTTAATATATTCTCCATTTTAAGGTGGAGGGTATAAATATGCGTGAGTACATGAATAGGTCGAGCAGCTCTAATGTGATTATATTTACCTCAAATGTGATTATATTCAGATCGCCAAACGTTCTTTCTTTGTGTCGTTTGGCCTTTCTCGTGTCGTTTGTCATACTGTCAACGAATGCACAATGGCATAATGCCCGGTACCTTGTACAAATTTTTAATTATTGTCAACATAGCATTTTTTCCACAATTCCTAATCGAATCTATGGTAATGTGAAATTCTTAATTCTCAGTAAATGTATTATTTCCTCGATATGAAATTACCTTCAGATTTTAATAACTTTTAAGGCTCACATTTAAATTTTCAATCGAATTGGCTTAGCCGTGGTTCTGACTTTCCGGTAATCCCAGAACTGGGAAATTTACAATAAAGCTACACCATTTTAAGGGAATTGCATTCCTCATTTTAGGTTCCCTTTGTGAACATTTTTCAATATCTATCGACTGATGGCTTTTCAACGAAATTATTTGAAATAATTTGTTAATTCCAATTTTCTTTGTAAACATTTAACTCTTTTTTTTATAAAATAAATTACACTTCATAATTCCTACTATTTTCATGATTGAAAGACATATGTGCTCCATCGCAGGGCTGCGGAATGGGGTAGTTTTGATAGAGTCGGAGTCAGATAAGGAAAATTAATATAACTCCGACTCCGGGTTAAAATATTTTTTTATTATACCCTCCACCATACATAGTATGGAGGGTATATTAAGTTCGTCATTCCGTCATTCATTTGTAACTCATCGAAATAATCATTTTAGACCCAACAAAGTATATATATTCTTGATCAGCGTAAAATTCTAAGACGACTTAGCTCTGTCCGTCCGTCTGTTGTAATCACGCTACAGTCTAAACGAATTAGGATAGGAAGCTATCATTTTGCACAGATCTCTATTTTGTCTACCGGCAGGTCAAGTTCGAAGATGGGCTATATCGATCCACGATATCGTATAGCCCCCATATAACGGTACCCTCCGATATTCGGTATTTTGAAGATGTTACCCACATTTTTCAACGGAATTATCTAAAAATCCACACAAGGAGTTTCTTGTGGGTACTGTATACCTCGGCAGGGAATTATCTATATAGGTCCACGATATCGTATAGCCCCCATATAACGGTACCCCCGCGGTATTCGGTATTTTGACGATTTTAGCCACATTTTTCAATGGAAGTGTCTGTAATTCCACAAAAGGAGTTCCTTATGGGTACTTTATACCTCAGAAGAGAATTCTATATCTGTCCACGATATCGTATATCCCCCATATAACGGTACCCCCGATATTCGGTATTTTGATAACTTTACCTACATTTCACTTTATACCTCGGCAGAGAATTATCTATATATGTCCATGATATCGTATATCCCCCTATAACGGTACCCTCGATATTCGGTACTTTAATGATTTTAGCCACATTTTTCAACGGAAATTGTACACAAGGGGTTTTTTGTGAGCACTTTACCCCCGACAGAGAATTCTTTATATAGGTTAATGATTTCGTATAGCACCCATATAAAGGTACCCCGATATTTTTAAATCGTATTGTCTGAAAATCCACACAAGGAGTTCTTTGTGAGCACTTTACCCACCTTTCTGGGGGTCTATATAGGTCCGTAATATTGTATATCCCCCATATAACGATACCCCCGATATTCACTAGTTTGATGATTTTAGCCACTTTTTCCAATGGAATTATCTGAAAATCCACACAATGAGTTCCTTGTGAGTACTTTACACCCAGACATAGATTTGTCTTAATAGGTCCACAATATCATATATACCCCCATATATCGGCACCTTCCTATATTAGATATTGTATAGATTTAAAATAAAATTTAATTGATTTTATTTTTTTGAAATTTTTCTAATTCGTTCCAAATAGTGGAGGGTATTCAAAGTTCGGCCCGGCCGAACTTACTGCTTTTGTACTTGTTTTTACCTTCCAGCCTTCTGTTCTTAAATACTTCGGTGATGTGTTTTGCAGATTGGAGAGATTTCAATTTCCCTATACACTTATAAAATTACATGGGGCCCTCTGTATATGTAGGACCTTCCATAGCTATTCAGTTGATAGCAAATCTTAGTCATAACGTTTGTAAAATAATTGTTTTGAGCTACATTTTTTTGACATTTTTAGTAGAGAATGATAACTGGGTTAACACATTTCGTCCAAATGATCAAGTTAATATGCATGTTTGTAACTCAATAGAATGAATAAGAAGTCTGAGTCGAAACCCTGTCCAGTCCCATATAAGCGCGGTTTCTGTGTACCAAATTATTTTCTGAAACTAAATTCTACTGAGACTTAACAGCCACAGCCACATAAGAAATGGATTCATAGGTTAACGAAATTGATTCTTTTTCAAAGCAGTTGAAGGAATGCTTTTATAAAATGTAATATTTTTAAATAGATTCTGTTTAAGTCTCTACCAGAAAAACATTGCAAATTAAAAGCTTTGGAGGTGAATTCCCAAAAATCCATTTTTACTTTGGTTATTATGTTCACATTTTTTAGCTCAGCTGTTTTTTCCAATCTTTAATGGTTTTATAGATTTTCTTTTAATCTATTCTATATTTGAGTACTTATATTAATATGCTCTTTGAAAACGCATTACTCACCTCTTCTCTTTTGCTACATTTCAGATACGGACGCTACAACACTATCGTAGAAAAAATGCGCTTTCATCCTACGAACAAACGGTAATAAAGTAAATTTGAACGATAAAATCGTAAATCGTTAACGATATTTATGTTACAATATCATAACAACGTTGTTCTAGCTAAAATCAACTCAAAGACTTGTCCGAAAATTTCGGAGAGCCGAATTCGTTGTGGGCGTTACAAAGTGCTGCATCGTAGAACCTTTACAACCAAACAAAATGATGATGGGGCCATGAGCCCATCATTACCGACATTGAGTTGGAGTCGCAAGCGCGTCTCAAGCGGGCCTGCACCATGCTAGCACCGCCGAACCCGAGGTCAATATGCGGCCAGGACCCGGGCTGGTCGTGATGGCGCTTGCGTTTATTTCGGGGGCTCGGCGTGGCAGCACCAGCAGCATCAGTTCAAAGACTACTCTAACAACGTCGTCACTACCACCAACACTACCACTACCAAGGTCAAGAACAACAGACACAACACCTCCACCACAACCACTACCAGCAACACTTCCACCGGCTACACATCTACCACCAACATCAGCGGCAGCGTCGTCGTCCTCATTCATTATCGCAGCAGCAACACCACCACCACCGCCAACAACAACTACATCCAACACCATCTCTCCAACATCAGCGTCATTCAGCATTTATGAGCACAACGGATTTCTACACTCTCCATCACCAGAGGAAGAGGCCATAGGGCAGGATCACAACCACCCCGACCACCATCATTACAAGGATTTAGGGCCACTCAACTTTTTTAGTGCATTTTATAGCAACGATTTTCTACAGCGACCAGCATCCCATTTCTACTCTCCTAACTCCGCCTACAATCCTGCAAACACATTTGCCTATACGTTCCCGCTGCCCTCGCACTTGTCGCACCATTACGACGATCCGCTACAACGTTCGTCCGTTCGTTCGTCTAAAGTTCTGCCAACGGTAAGGCAGTCGCGTTCGCGTGTGATATCGTCGAAATTCAGACGGAGAAGAAAGAGAAGGGCCCGCAGTGCAAACGTTGACTATAAGGGCAGTAGGTCGGCGTCGTCGGCGGCGACAACAGGGGACATCGTAAACGAATCATCATCCGACGACAACACCTCGCAATCGATAGCAGTGGAGAGCAGCAAGGGACGTAGTCGCAGTCACGGCCGAGACAGTGTTGTTGTACCAAGCGACCAAGCCACAGTTCGTGGTCTACCCGTACACTTTCCCTCACTCAGCGCCGATTCATCAAGGTCGTTTGACGAAGACGATATATATGCCTTAGTAGCCGAGGACGATCTTCTGTCGGAAGAGTCCTTCGATCGTTTGATAAAACTCACGGACGACAAAATTGGTGATACTAACGAAGAAGATTACAGCAGTGGTACGGAGACTGTAGTGTCATCGTCGTCTTCCTCCTCCTCTTCGTCGTCATCATCATCATCCTCCTCATCTTATTCACCATCTGCATCCGTGTCAGTATCTTCCTCTTCTTCCGCGTCATCATCAGCCGCAGCAGCATCACCATCATCATCATCGACAAGTGGTAGTGGAAGTGGCGCCTCAGAATTACAGGACACCAATCAGCAAAATGCCCTTGAGGATTTTGAACGATTGCAGCAAAATGAAGTTCCCATTTCACAAAAATCCGAAAACGATCCCAATGCCCAAGGATCGTCGAAATCTATCAACACAGATCAGCGGCCAGAGCAAGAGCCAGATTCAATATCAGAAGCATCAGAGCAGGAACCTGATAGCGAACTCCAGCAGCAAGAAAATCATGCTCGTGAATCGAACGAACCAAATGATGATCAAATCGAAACGCTGTACAATGCTCACTTAGTGGGTAACAACAACGATAAAATTGTAGCTGTCACCGAAGACGACGACGAAGACGGCGAGAGCGTCGCCGACGACGACAACAACGGCGTCCAACATTTAACACCTGCCCAGCAGGAAACCAAAGCGACGACAGATTTAGAAGACGACACCGAGGAACATCGATCGATATTGGAAAGTGATTTTCCGTTAACACGCCTTAATCCCTGGATATCAGCTTGTGATCTGGCACAACCTGGCCCATTAGCGGCACCAGACTTACAGGTAAGATATAAAGACTTTTCTTATCTAGTTAACGTTTTATCCAGAATTTATGGACAAAATCGGACATTTTGGTTCTAAATTCCCCTCATTTCCTTCTTACCCTGAGTGAGTCTTATGCCAAATTTCATAATTTTAGCATTTCTATTTTTATTTTTGTACTAATGAATATCATTTTGGTACAAAAAAAAAATTCGAATTTTAAAGGAAAATTTTACAAAACATCATAATATCGCCAGGCAATGCTACAAGCCTAGTTTCCGAGTTCAATCGCAAGCCCATTTTTGTCCAAATTGTCAAAAAAAGAAATACTGTTAAATTCAATTACTATTTAAAGACCATTATTTTAGTAACAGCTTTGAAGCTTTTTGAATTTTGTTATTTTATTATGCACAGTCGTTTCAAATCATTTTCGACTCCTTCAAAGCAGGGGTGACTCCTGAATTTCGGGATTGCAGTTCTATTTCTCACATTTAGTACAGTAGATTTTGGTCCATCTTAACCCTTAACTGTTTTGTGAACATCGTCAAAAATAATAGGCTACTGTTCTGACTGGATTTTGTTTTTGGCAAGGAACAGAACAGAGGGGGCAATCTTTTTACTAATGATGCTTGAAGTAACCTTCCGAAATATTCCTCAAAATTTTGGGTTACTTTTGCATGTGGCTTTTATTTTTAGATCCAACCCTAATTTAATCTAATCCGATTTAAAAATGTCCGATGTAATCACCTTTCCGCCGTCAAGTGACTACATCCATATGTCTCAGAGTATAAAATCCCCGACTTCTGACATTTTTATACCCTACACCACAAGGTGGTCAGGGTATTATGTCTTTGTGCATTTGTTTGTAACAGGCAAAAGGAAACGAGATAGACCCATAGTTCCTTTTGATGATCTGCATAGAATCACATTCTGAGTCGATTTATGCATGTCCGTCCGTCCGTCCGTCCGTCTGTCCATGTATTTTTGTAAACAAAGTACAGTTTGCATTTATTGTCCTATCCAAGTGAAATTTTGCAAACTTAGATATAGCTCCCATATATATCTTCGTCCGATTTGCATTTTATTGTGCACCAAACGTGTAATATCAGCCCGAATAGTATGGAATTTTGCACAAACAACCAAATTAGACCTGAAAATAAGTGTGCCAAATTTGATCGAAATCGGTTCAGATATAGCTATAGCTCCCCTATATATAATGTTCATCCGATTTGTTATTTTTGTCCTCCGCAGCCGTAATATGCACTCTGTAACAACAATATTTAGGGAAATATATCAAATATAACTCAGAAACATCTCTGCCAAATTTTATTGAGATTGGTTCCGATTTGGATATAGCTCCCATATTTAACTTCGTCCGATTTGCTTTTTATTGTGCACCAAACGTGTAATATTTGTCCAAATTGAATTACATTTGGCACTTACGACCGAATTGAGCCTAGAAGCTAAGCTAAATTTTGTGAAGATCGGTTCAGATATAGATATAGCTCCCATATAGCTCCCATATATATAATTGTTACCACAGCCGTAATATGCACTTCGTAACAACGATATTCAGGGAAATATATCAAATACAGCTCAGAAATATCTTTGCCAAATTTTATCGAGATCGCTTCCGATTTGGATATAGCTCCCATATATATATTTTTATCCGATTTCAAATTAATTGTGCACCAAATGGGCAATACAAGTCCGAATTTAAAAGATACAAATGCTTCGGCATATTTAGTCCTTTGAACTTTAAATTATAATTATAATCATAGCGTGTATGATTGAATTGTCCTATACAAACTTTTAACTGTTATGCGCAGCTCTACTAAATTAGCAAAGTGGTGTAGGGTATCATAAAGTCGGCCCCGCCCGACTTTAAGACTTTCTTTATTGGTTCATTAAGCCAATGAAGTATAACATTGCGTATTTGCTTTTAAATTTTGGATTTCGGTTTTGGTACAAATCTTTCCTAGTAGTCTCATTTCAAATAAGAAAATGCAGCTTCGCATTTTCTTTAATTTTCCTCGTCACATTTAACCGCTTAAAAACTAGAAACGAATGTCTGGGCCTACTTTATAATACCCTACTTTATAATACCCTACACCCTAAAGCTTTATAAAACAAATCAAATATAGACAGATGGAAAAAAACAATAAGTTCGGCCGGGCGAATCTTTGGATAAATTACTCACAAGGAACTCCTTGTGTGAATTTTCAGATCATTCCATTGGAAAATGTGGCAAAAATCATCAAAATACCGAATATCGCGGGGTATCGTTATATGGGGGCTATACGATATCGTGGACCTATGTAGATAATTCTCTTCCAAGAGAAAAAGTACCCACAAGGAACTCCTTGTATGGATTTTCAGACATTTCTGTTGAAAAGTGTGACTAAAATCATGCACGTCCCGGTCTTCGTATAAGCCCCAAATATGAGTACCTCGCAATATTCGGTATTTTGACGACTTTAGACACAATACTCACCGAAGTTGTTTGAGATGTCATATTTGAAGTTCGTAATGGATGCTACAGTCTGTGACAGAAAATTGTCTATGCTGATCCTGGTCTTCGTATAGCTCCGATATAACGGCACCTCCCTATACACGGTATTTTGATGATTTTAATTATTCACGGTTTATATCAAATTTCAAATTTCGAATTTGAATATGGTAGTGGCTTATGACAAACAAAGCCTATGTAGGTTCATGTCTTAGGGACCCCAATGTAACGGCCATATTCGGTACTTTTACTTTGTTAAAATCTTAACAGAATTTTAAACGGATTTTATTTTTTTTTTTTAATTTCCAAGTTTGTTACAATTGGTGGAGGGTATTCAAAGTTCGGCCCGGCCGAACTTACTGCTTTTTAACTTGTTTTTATACCCTACAACACTATGCGTTGGGGGTATTATAAGTTTGATTGGGCCAAAAATTATGTAACACCACGAAATATTGGTTTCCCAAATAGGAAAGTATATGTGGATCTTCCTATCTCGCAGAGCTGAGTGGATCTAGCTATGCATGTCCGTCCGTCCGTCCGTCTGTCATGTTAATTTGTAATCACTCTTCAGGTCGCAATTACGGCCCGAACTTCACGAAATTTAGAATGGAGGTAGGGCTAGGATCAGAATAGAACCCTATTTCTTTTGGAGATGATCGCATAATATTTAGGGGTTGAAATAGACCAAAAATTGAAAAAATCCCTGATTTTTCAGTTGCTCTAGAGGTCGCAATTATAGACCAATCAAAGCGGAAGTTAACATGGGGCTAGAGCTTAGGGCTAGGCAGAAGCCTTCCAATTTTCATGGTCATCGGGTAATATTTAGTGAGTGAAATAGGCCACAATATTTGTGTTAAATAAAAGTCAAATTTTCCATTAAACCGCGAACACTGTAAATCCCGGCGAAATCACAAATAAACGAACTGTTCAATTCTGACCGTTACGTAGATGCCGATAGTATATATATCGTTTATATACAGCGAAATATATATAATGTGTATATACAAAGGAAGGGAATGTTAGTTAGAATGCTTATATCTCAAGAATGGCTGGGCCGATTTTGCAAATTTTGTCAATTCAGAATGCCCTCTTGACATAAAAGTATAAAACCTAAAAAAATCGCAGGAAAATAAGCCTGACATTTGTGACATTTTTTTTTTTTTTTTTCATATTTTTTATCGCATGTTATTTTTTCAATTTGATTTATAATATTTTGTAATATTTTTTCAACTTGCAACACAGGTTGGGGATATTATATAAGTATTGCAAATATCTTCCGATCCTCACGAAAATGTTCACAAGGGTAGGGTTGGGCTCAGAAGGGCTAGGCCTATTGTTTTCAAAGATGTCCACAATATATTAGGGATTGAAATAGACCAACAACTAAAAATTTTCCTGATTTTGCAGCCGTTATAACAAGAGGACGCGAAATCTCTCATAAAGTTAGAGTTTAGGACAGCGGGTAGAATGGACTACTAATTTTGTGTGAAAAATACCACCATTACTTACAGGCGATATCCGAAATGCACAAAAGGCGAACTTCCGGTTTTTTTTATGCTGATTTCGTTGACGAATATAGCCAAATACCAGACAAGCAAATCATATAGATGAGTCTAAATATGGAGATACAGAGGGGCTTCTTCCTTTTGGGAGATGATTGCAAAATATTTAGGGGTTATAATAAACCAAAAACAGAAATGTTTTTCCGATCACACAATTGAAGCCAATCGACACGCCTGTGAACGAGAGTTAAGGACAGGGAAGAATTCTAGCATTTTGGATGACCATTGGATTATATTTAGCTGTAAAATGGACCACAACAACTAACATATTGTAGTGTTGTAGGGTATAACATAGTCGGCCCCGCACGACTATAGCCTTTGTTTACTTGTTTTTTTTTTTGTTTCGTCTCGAACGCACATTCCTCACTCTTGTAATCGATTATATATTACTTTGTAACGTGTATAATGAAATGTAAATTCTAAATGAAAACTCATTATTTCCAAACCAACTTGTAATGCAAATGAGAGTTTGTTTACATTACCTTGTAGGGAGTTATTCGCATTACGTAACTTACAAATTGTTGATTGGTTACATAAGAATCACAATGGGGTTTCAAACGGCGAAAGTTATGTGTCAAATTAATTCGGAGAGAGGGATGGTGATTTTTTATGGGCTACACATTCCCTTCCTTCCCATTTCTGTTTTTGCCTTTCAACATCTTCTGACATTTACTTCCATTTCCACGAAATGAACAATGCGATGGGCAAAACAACAAATATTATTTTTTAATGAATACTAGACACAAATCTGAAAAGGTCATATTTGTATTTGACTAAACTTTGACATTTAAAGAGCAGCAACATCCGAAGTAACGACTGACAGCAAAAGAAAACAAAACAACAACAGCAGCAGCACCGGCAGCACCGACAGCAAAAAACAACATACCTCGTGTTAATTCCGCAATTAATTTCTTAAAAGACAGTTCTATTGTCTGACATATAGACTGCAT